TGTGTAGGAGTTACTGTTTACTGAGGCTACAACGAAATTAGTGGTACTCAAATTCTTAACTTCCCTATCAACTGTTATCAGTTGTTATCACGTTCGATCAACCACTATCCGTGTTCCAGTTCTCATGCCTGGGACAAGTATGTGTAGCTAGAAAAAATGTGGCGCGATCTGACCTAGTTTCAGCCGCAGCGCAACAATCCGGACCTCTTGACCCAGCAAAATTGCTTCCCACCACTTGAATGTTCCGCGTGGGAACAAAGAAAAACAGCCACAATTATTACTAAGAAATCTACGTAAAGGGACTTTGAGGGAAATTATTTGTACGTATATCGCCCAACAACGACCAAAAAATTCCCTCTAGCAAACTCGGCCTGATCACTTCTGCTTTTTGACAATCTTTATATGCTCTTGTGTTCATCCGATGGCATCAGGATCAGCACAGCATTTTTCCAGAGCCCTATGCGTCAAGGAGACGCTAGCGCAGTCCGACATGCGCAACTAGGCTGGTTTTTATCATGATGGAGGAACCTTCAATAAATCTTTTTTCTTTATTAGAAATGGGGAGAAGCTCCTATTGGTTGAGCTTGTTTGCTCTAGTACATACATATTGTCACAGCACTTGCTCTAATTGATCAAAAAAGGTAAAAAAAAGATGAATTGAACACTAGGATGGGTACTGTGCTTTGTTGATCATTGGGAAGTTTTGCCCAGGATTGCAAGAAGTTGGGATTCATCCTCAATATCTAGCGCCTACAGATTTCCCAGAATTTTCACAGTAGATCGAGCAGTAGGCAGGAATAGCCGAGTGGTTAAGAGGTTAGACTCATGTCTGCACCTCTGGAAAACCGCGAGTTCGATCCCTGCCGAGGCTAACCATGCCTTGCAAAAATTGCAAAAATGGTTCTAGTACCAGCGTCAGGCCCAGGTTGACAGGCCGGCTGATGAAGACCCCCGTCACAACAAATATGTCTAAAGTCGAAAAAGGAATCAGTGATAAAGCTAGGACGTCACCCGGAAGTGCGCAGAACCCCCGCCCGAGTTCTGTGGTCAGTATGCGAGGGCTACCGAGGAGTGAACGGCCTCGGCCAAAGAAGCTAGTTCGAATTGGGACTCTAAACGTAGGATCGCTAACTAGGAAGTCCAGTTCAAGCCAAG